ATGCCACAATGAACATGGGCCGACAAAGTGGGGACGCAGTCAGGAAGGCCAACCATACCTTGTCGTGCATCCACAGATGCATCTCAAGCAGGTCCAAGGAGGTGATCCTCCCCCTCTATGCGGCACTGGTCAGGCCGCAGCTGGAGTACTGCGTCCAGTTCTGGGCACCGCACTTCAGGAGGGATGTGGCCAATATGGAGAGGGTCCAAAGGAGGGCCACCCGCATGATCAGGGGTCAGCAGGGCAGGCCCTACGAGGAGAGGTTGAGGGACCTGAACCTGTTCAGCTTCGAAAAGAGAAGGCTGAGGGGAGATCTAGTGGCCTGTTACAAACTAATCAAGGGGGACCAGCAGGCATTGGGAAAGTCCCTGTTCCCCCAAGCACTCCTGGGAGTTGCAAGAAACAACGGACACAAGTTAGCAGAGGGTATTTTCAGGCTAGACATTAGGAGGCACTATTTCACTGTCAGGGTGGCTAGGATCTGGAACCAACTTCCAAAAGAAGTGGTGCTGGGTCCTACCCTGGGGGTCTTTTAAAAAAGGCTGGATGAACATCTGGCTGGGGTCGTTTGACCCCAGTACTCTTTCCTGCCACAGCAGGGGGTCAGACTAGATGATCTCCTCAGGTCCCTTCCGACCCTACCAACTATGAAACTATGAAACTATGAAATTAACCACACAGTAGATTTATTCACTGTGCAGTAAGTACCTGCACATGTAGATGATGATGCTTTACTGCACAGTCAATTAGTCTACTGTGCGGTAAAGCATCTTGTGTAGACATACCCAGTTTGTCTGCCAGTGATCTTTCCTTGCCTAAAGGATTTGATGAGCTGATGAATTCCCATTTTCCAAAGGCAAAATGTTTCTTGGCACAGCAAGCTAGACCAAGATCTGCTTCAACAATTTACAGAATATATTAGCAACAGCTGTATCACTTTTACTTGAATGTGTGGAATGAAGATTTTGAGATCCAGCTGAGTTGCTTTCAGCTCCAGTACCATGATGCAGAATCTGGTCTCTCTGTACAGGTGAATACAAGTTGTGGGTTGTCTAGCAGCTAACCTATGTGACTTATCCAGTCTTGGAGGCATCTGTGACTGCAACGCTAGAAAAGACTAGGGGTGCAAAGGAAATCCCTAAACAGACACCACAAGGACTATTTTACCAGACTAGCTTTTGGGAGACCTCCTAAGGAATGTGTACTATAGGGCCAACACACTGATTGACGTTATATTGCTTTACCACTTGATGATCAAGTCCTAGCATTTCTACATTTCAAGACTTATTGACCTTTTCCAACCATGACAAAAGGGTATTTTGGTTTATCCTTAATCCTAAGGATTGGAATAGGGAGCCAGTCTTTTGATGGGATGGGCAGAGATTTTCCACCAGTGTCTCTCTCCCTCTTTTTTTTGCAAAGGTGATAATCACAAGAAGGCCATCTTCGTGGACAGATGGGAGAGCATGTAGTTTGCCATTGGTTCAAGTGGTAGGGCCATCATTGCTATTAGGACCAAAATCAGGTCATAGTGAAAGACTAAATCTCTCACCAGAGAGAATATCTTTGTCAGATCCTTGAGAAAATTTTAGCATTGCTGAGTGGGAGAAGACAAGCAGGTCATCTCCCAGTGGGTGGTGAGCTGAGATAATGGCAAGGTCACTTTGAAAAAACAGAGAAAAAGGTTAATGCATTTCAGCTCTAGGAGGTGGCCCGAAGTACCCAGAAGGGAGATCTCATAATGGAAAGGGGACTTCACATAACACCACACCAAGAACCTAATACTCTAAGCCAAATAGGTTTGCTTGAGGGCCATCAAGTAGCCAGGCTGTGAGAGGGAGAGTAAATAAATCTGAGTGCAGCATCTTCTTCCATTGTGGGAAAATAGGTCCAGAAGCAGCAGCCGACTGGGACTGGGACTCTTTCACAATATACAAAGGAGGTCCATAAAATAAACATGTTGGAGTCAATAGGATCTGGTCTGTGGCAGTTTGCCTTACCTTGCAGAGTAGTTGTGAAATTAGAGGTATACTCAGAAAGGGATACTAGAATTCGTCTGATGATAAGATGAGAAAGGCACTAGACAATGAAATCAGGTTGAGACCCACCTTAGAACAAAAAGGTTCAGCACTCCTTGCTGATGTAGGAGACAAAGAGGTACATCTCTGGATGGACTCAATCTAAAAATATATCCTGAAAGACAGTATCCTTGATCTCTGTTCATGATTCAGAGAGTTGTGCCTGCTGAGACGGTTCTCTTGTGTATTCTGAGGGCCCAGAAGATGCACTGCTAGCAGCAGTATCCCGTGGAAGATGCATCAGGTCTAGAGTTTCCCTGAAAGATTCCTCAGGAGGCCAGAGGCCTTAGAAGTCATTCACATGTGCTCTGTACCTCACTGAGGAGGAAACCATTCCAAATGTCAACAGTATTTTGGAAAGAGGGAACAGGATGCCACATGTTTGCCAGGTCCTTCCACAGTTAAAGGAAGAACCTAACTGGAGAGAAATGGTTACTGCCATGCTCAGGTGATACACTTCTGGGGAACAGATGCCATGCCTGTATGCACCTGAGGTGAAATCTGGCATGCAGGAGACCATGTGGTCAAGAATGGATGGGCAAGTGCTCATTGCTGTTGGTGTTCAACAGCTTCTGCCATCCTGGTGTACATCTGCCAGGATGTCCTGAAGGAGGTAAGCTCTAGCCAACAGAAAATCCAAAGGGACTCCAGTTTTGTACTGAGACCATGTTTTGTTTTTCCACACTCGATGATAGTACTTTGTTTGGCAGTAGTTCTGACCTACCACATATCACAGGCATTTCGGGTTGGAAAGCAAGTGTCCTGAAGGTTAAGAGATTCAAACCAGCTCTCTGTCTGAAGAGATGGGTTATGGGTCCTAGTGTTACCATCCTGAACTTGAGCTCACGGATGAAGGACCTAAGTTTCCTTAAACCCAAGAAAGGATACCATCTTCCTTTTCTTTTTGGGATCAGGAAGTAACTGCTATGGAAACCCTTTCCACAGTGTAGTGGAGGACCCTTTTCTATAGCTCTGTGACAGAAGGTAGGCAACATCCTGCTGAAAGAAAATCTCATGAGAAGGCGCCTGAAAAGGGTCATGGAAAGTGAACCGGGAGCAGACACTTTGAAGTGGGCAGTATAGTGAGTCACAGTGGTGTTTGGAATCCAATGGTCTCTGCTGATACAGGTTCATGCAGACCAGAAGGCAGCCAAGCAGTTCCCAAAGGATAATGGAGTGGATGAATATGGAACCTAAGACAGTGGGTGGCATCTGTCTTGACTAACCTATTAAACATTTGGGCTGTTGCCTGAAGATATGGTGTGGAGAAGAGGCAGCTGCCACAGGGTTTTTCATTCTGTGGAAGCAGTTACACTTCCTAGGAGGCCAAGTAGGTGAATACATGCAGAGCAGTGTAGAAGGCTGCTTTGGTGGTTACTGGTCAAATTAAGAACTATATTTAGATTTCTTCTTTGGGATGGGTGTACTGACTTTCAGAGAATGTATTAAGGCCTTCTGGGTAAGGAGTATTTTCTTTATTTTAATATGTAAAAGCTCTCTTTCTTGAAACAGAAGGCCTTTCACAAGAATCTTAACCTCCTTAGTGAAGCCAGATCCCTGAAACAAGGAGAGCTGCATAACTGAGGTTGTAGCCTTTGAGTTAGATGAGGCATGTCCTGCAAGCAGTGCAGCCTGGAGTGAGGTCTTGCCCACTAGCTATCTTTCTGTAACTCAGGCAGCAAATGCATCTTGATAATTAGGCAATAGCCTGACTGTGGAGGATGCCAATCACTCCAGTCATGCCAGACCCATAGTGTGTGGAAATTCAATGTAGGCTAGTAAGGGATTATGATTTTTCTTCTTACAGATCCAATTTTTGGGAATCTCTGGAATGCTCCAGATGTGCTTAGTCTAATCTTAATGGAGTAGTGACTGCTATAGATGAAAACACAGGTTATGCATAGAAATATTCTGCAGCCCAAAAAGTTATTTGGAAAGTGATTTCTGAAAAGGCCATGCAGTTAGGATATAGGTGTCCGGTATCTGGGATGTGATCTTAGTAAGAGCAATCATGGTCTCATTGATGAGGGGGAGACACCTTACTAAGAGTAGACTGATATATAATATCCACAAGCCTATTCTTAGGCTGTTCACCTTCCTCTGTCATAATCTGCAGTCTTGATCCTGGAAGTCCTTCTGTTAGAGTCAACCAAATCATAGCCAGGCAGGACCAGAATCAGGGATTTACTAGAATGCAAATAGCCAAGCTCAAAGCCAGGTATCAGTCCAGTTTCCAGGGTATCAAGCCAAGGGTCAAGACAAGGTCATGGTCAGGACAAGCAGTTGATCAAAGCCAAAGGGTCCAAGACAGGAGAAAAAGTAACCAGGAACAAATAGGAAGATCCAAGGAAGCAGGAGTAGCAATACCTAACAATGCTATCACTGGGACAAGGTCCTGGAAGTGGGAGGGTTTTATAGCCCTCCATTCAGGGGCTTGTGGTAGTCATTGTTCACTCAGGTCACCTGGTACCTCACTGGGAACTTCAGGTGAGGGTCCTGACTGAGCTGGGGTTAATGTTCGGTCAGCTGCTTGATGGTGTTGCAGCCTGAGCTGTCTATGGCTGTAAAAGTCCAGGTTCAAATCCCAGGGGTCCTGATGCCCTCAAGTCACTGATTTCCTTTTTAAGGGGAGAGTCCATGGCCAGAAAGATCACACTGGAATGCTAGTAAAAGGTTTCTGAGCCTGAGATGCCAAGTCAGGGCAAATGATGGTTGCATTAATACCTGTGGCTATCTGAGCTGGATACAACACTACTCACCCTACAGCTGCAGTGTGGGTCTAAATCTATCCTAGGGGACCTCATGAGTTTGACATCCCTGGTATAAGTGCATGCCAATGCTTGAAACAGCTGTAGAACTATGTTTGCTTCTCTTGACATATCTGAGCCCTTTAGACATAGTTTTCTTAACTCAAAAGCCTACCGTAAAATCCATTTTGGATTAAGCTGGTGCCATACTGAGCCCTCCAAAGGAATGGATTTTGTGCTCTGGCCAGGTGAGGATCCTCTGGCCCCAGTAAGTCAAGTAGCTTCTTCACAGCATTCTGTCTCTGAAGGCACAACACAAGGGAGGAGCCTGAGGTGAGGTAGTTGCAAAAAGCTTCCAAGATTGCTGGATCCTGAAGGGAATAAGGTGAAGAGGCAGATTGCACTGTTTGACTTTGTTGCAAATTTCCAATGGGTAGCAAGCAAACAAGTCAACTTACTTGCTTCCTGCAATAGTATATATGCCCATCTTCTCTCCAGGCACAGCTGCCTCAGTACACACTGTAATAACCAAATCAGCAGCTGGGCATCTCAAACCCGTTAGGGCATAGGCACTGACTCTGTGGGTGCTCTGTCGCTCAAGCACACACTGAAAAAAATTAGTGAGTACTCAACAGGGCCATGCTTGCAGATGTTAAAACCAACCAAACAAAAAATGCGTGTTACTGGAAAAAACAGCGTGTTCCTTAAACCCGGTTCTTCAGCGTCTGTATAGATTGGGTGCTTCAGCAGGGTTTTTTGGCACTTTTAGCTAAAGCTGATTCAATCAGCTATTAGATGAAAACACCAAAAAGGCCCCACTAAAGTGCCGCATCTTTAGAGATGCTGCAGAGCTGGGTTGAAGTAATGTGCTGCCTCTTCTGGGCATACGTGGGGCTCAGCACAGGAATGCGCCAAGTTAAAAGTAAAGCGCCATTGGGGGGGGGTGGGGGGGTTGTTATGTCTGCAAGCATCCACTGGCAAAAGCAAAGGCAGCCCCCTCTATGCACAATCTGCCAGCTAGTGAGCACTAGGGGTGGCATTCTATTCCCTTCCTGGCTATAGAAAGGTCCAGATTTGGTTGTCTACATGGCATTTCTGGTCATCTGAGTATTTTATGTCCCAGGCAGGAATTTTAGTCATGGCTGCATAGACTGTACATGTACATAGTTGTCTGTATGTATAGGCTGGGTATGCACAATAATCTGTGCACTGGCAATGCATGTACATATGACCCTTATAGACATGCAGTGGCCTCTGGATGCCTGAAAATGTAGTCAACCAAAATACATAACCAGAGGAACTTATTGAGTCAGGAATGGAGGACGAGAGAGAGCTTTCCTGTGTTTTGCCTACAATAGCTGAGTAGCTAGGGCAATGGGGTCAACCTTTTTGGCAGGTGTGCCACAAATTAAGCCCTGTGCCCTCCCTAAGTGCCACTCCAAACCCCTTCCCCTATCCTATCTGCATTCTGCTTCCATAGAACACCACGAGGTGCTCTATCCCTTATAAACAATCATCCTACCTAATGTAGCTGTTGGCATCATGATTACACCTATATTGTTCCATTCATTTTGAACCTTGACAATTTGTGGCAGTGAGTTTCACAGACTGTTTTGTGTACAGTACTCTTTGCTTGTTTCTGTTTTAAAAACCTAGCTAACAAACAGCCTAGAACATTGCACGCTGGTTTACTGAAAGGTTGGGTGGCAGCAGAATAAATGATTCATTGTATTAAACTTCTTTTCTTTTAGTAACAACATGGAGCACTAATTTCTCTCTCAGAAGCAAATGTACATTAGCTTAATGTGTTACACATGCCCCTGACTACACAGTTCCAGTGGTGCACAGGTTGTATCTGCCCCTACTTTGCTGTAGCAATGAGCTACGGCAAGGTAGTTCATTGCTACAGCAATGTAGCAGTAGCATCAAGATTAGTGCCTGCCAATGCTATGCCACTGTAGCGATGAGCTACATCACCATAGCTCGTCACTACAGTGATGTAGCATCTCGTGTAGACGTGCCCAGAAAGAACCTCTTTTAGTACAGAAATTCCCTTCTTGCCCCAGTCATGCAGATATATAAGCACAAATCAGACCTAAGATTTGAGAGTAGGGAGGTTTGACTGTTGTCATGGAAAAAGAGTGAAGGATGGAACCTGCCTGCAGGGACATCAGGGATTGAGGCTTGATTTGCTTAGAGATAGGTAGTGTTGGATGATCCAGTCTTCAACAGTGTTGCATTTGCTTTGAGTGACAAATATTGGGCTCAATCCAGAGGTAGGGATTCTAAATATAGGAGTAATTCCTCCTTGTTGGTTATATATGCATCCACTACTTGGCTGCATGCACCTTGGTGTGGAAGCTATGGAGCCAGATCATGCAGCTGGGTTTTGGGAAGCTCCCCAGTTGCCAGTAGCTTACTACAGAGGCTCCTTAGTCCCCAGCTATATGCGCTCTGGCATGGAAGCAGTGCGCACATAGCTAGTGACTGAGGAGCTATCCAGTTCCAAGCAGCATACTTCTCTACTGAGAATTGGCACTTGGGGCTCTCCCCATTGCTCTCCCAACCTGATCAGCAGAGGCAGTCCCTGGTTCAGAGACCCACCTACTGAAAGGCACACTGGTGTAGCCCAGCATCAGGGAAGTGGTTCCCCAATGCCAGGCTGCATCAGTGCTACCAGCAAGCAGGGAACCTGGTTTGGGGCACTGGCTCCCCCATGCCAGGTTCCTAGCTTCACAATTGTACAGTTGGGCTCTGAGGAATATTATCCCCATGCACATCTGATATAGTAAGAGGCGTGATCTTTTGGATTGGGCATAAAATTCCTCAGAGCCCAATTGCACAATCATTCTAATGTCTGCCAGGGGCCTGGATTTCAATGATTCAGCATTAGAGCTGTGCGAAACGGCACCGTTCTGTTTCGACTTGCGTTTTGACGGAACAGCATTTCATTTTGAATTTAGTTTCAATTCGAAACTGCTGTTCCATTTCATTTTGTTGAAACAGTTTTGCTGTTTGGACACTGTTTCGACGTTTTGCCCATAGGCTATAATGGGGAAGCATGAAACAGCCTACAACATTGTCATTTCTGGCCTGATTTGGATGAAATGGTAGCCCCTTCTGAGGGCACAAAGCCTGCCAAGTTTCAAGGAGATAGGTACAGGGGTTTCAGGGAAACTGCACCTCAAAGTCTTGAAAGTAAAAAACTCATGTCATGTGTATGAGCTAAGCCACAGCGGGGTCACAACTGCAGGGTTGCTATCCCCTATTGAGGCAACAAAACCAGCCAAGTTTCAAGGAGATAGGTGCAGGGGCTTGGGGGAAAATGCACCTCAAGCTGTGGACAAGCAAAACTCGTGACATGGGTGACACTGTGTGTGTGTTAAGGCACAGCAGGGTGAAAACTGCAGGCATGCTAGCCCCTGCTGAGGCCAGGAAGCCTGCCAACTGTCAAGGAGATAGGTACAGGGGCTTCTGGGTTCTGGGGCCCTGCACCTCTGGCTGCTGACAGGCAAAACTCGTGACCTGGGCGCTTGTGGGACTGTGTCTGTCTTGGGACACAGGGGGTGAAAACTGCAGGCCTGCTAGGCCCTGCTGCAGCCAGGAAGCCTGCCAGCTGTTAAGGAGACAGGTGCAGGGGGAGTCTTGGTTTTGGGGCCGTGTACCTCTAGCTGCTGACAGGCAAAACTTGTGTCATGGGTGGGTGACACTGTGTGTGTTAAGGTGCTCAACTGACACCAAGGCAGAAAGCAGGGCAGTTCAAACAATGCTGTCTTTTATGCAGTTTTTCCATCCCACTCCCAGAGCACTGGGATTGCAAGAGACCTCAGGAAAGGATGACAGTCACTGGCCAGCTACACAGTCAATAATGAGAGCACTCCTTCCCCCCCACTTTTCCTCCTCCCTCTCCTTACTTTAGTTTCTGTTTCCCTGCAGGCAAGCCCAACTTGAGTTTCGAAATGTTTCAGCTTGCCTGGTTTCATTTGGAGGCTGTTTTGAAGCTCTCTGGTTCGTTTCGATTTTGCTGTTTCAAGCTCAAAATGAGTCGAAACGGCGTCGAAATGAAACTGCTGTCAAAATTTTGCACAGCCCTATTCAGCATCTATGATACTGCTGCTGAAGAAGGATAGAGACAGAGTTTGTTACAGGCCAGTCAAACTGTCTGAATGGATGGACTAGAACAGGGTTGTCCAACTTCAAAGTGGTCAGAGGCTACATGTTGCACTGATTACAGACCCCGGGCCATACATCCCATGGACTACAAGCTGCAGTATTCATGTAAGCTCCCCAAAGCCCCTGGTGTGTGCAGTGCCCCCTGCCACACAACCCCCAACATTGCCACCACTGCATGGGCAATCCCCCTCACTAACTGCTGCTGTGCAAGAACTGCAAGCCTCCTCATTGCTACTACCATACTGGTGATCACACCTCCAACTGCTGCTGGCCAAGCCCTCCATTCACATCACTGCACAGGCAATTCTCCACCACTGCTGCACAAACAGTATAAGCCCCTCACCTCCCCCACTGTTACCACCACCACGCACACCATTCCCCTGTACCGCTGTGTGAACCCCTTCCCTCCTCCCACCACATGAGCCTCCTCTCTTGCCACCAGCACTGTGTAGGTGATCTCCCCCAGTACCCACCACTGCCACATGAGCAGCATGAGCCCCCTGCCTGAACCCTCACCCCATTGGCACTGTTTTCCGGGCAGTGAGCTCACCGAGCCTTCTGCCATGCTGTCCAGAGATCCTGGTTACTACCACTTCAATAGGAACAGTGGTGGCCAGGTGGAAGCTTGGGGGCCACATGTTAACTCTTTGCAGGCTGGATGAGGCCCATGGGCTACCAGTTGGACAGCCTTGGATTAGAATGTCACAGCTATTGTACATCATAGTCCTGCAGGGATTGCTCTTTAGTACAGAAGTAGCAAGTACAAAACAATGTGGTCCAGGTCACAGGGCATAAGACTAGGGTCCATGGTATCCTAGTTCCCTCTTGGTTCTGATGTTGACCTGCCATGACATTGGACAAATCACTGGACCTCTGTTTCCCACTCCACTCTTGTCTATTCAGACAATAAGGTTCCAGGTAATGTGGGGCCCCTGCAGGATATGCCTGGAAATCTGGTGGTCTCACCAGATGACAAAGCTAACCTATTTAACAATTTCTTTGCCTCCATTTTTCTGAGCAGGGACCAGGTCATCCCCCACATCAGGATCCCTGATGGTCCCAGGGGAGGCACAGCCAGGCCCAGGGTCAGAGAGGACCTAGTCAAGGAACTTCTGGTGGGACTAGATGTGTTCAAATCAGTAGGTCCTGACAATCTCCACCCTAGAGTGCTTAGGGAATTAGCAGAGGTCACTGCGGG